CCAGCGACATAGCCATTACACTTACTGCTGGTCCCCCAAAAGCTTTCAGTTTTCACAAAGTCTAGTTTGTCTTTTTTTTCCTTTTTGTAAGGCCTTAACATTTTATTATTATCTTTTTTAAGAACAAAAATGTTTTTTTCTGACAGCATAATAGAAAACATTAAATGCTTAATGTAAACAGAAATAAATTGAAGTGCAGAAGCATAAAGATATAAATCAGAGTCACCTGAGTGCCTGCTATGCAAGGGTTTTTACTGATGTGTTCTATCTTGGTAATATTCTTCTAGACATCTAACTGTGCATTTTCACAAATAGTCGTGCAGCCACCTCATCTTACATACGTGTATGCATCTGTTAGTAACATGTCTCTAACGCAGTTTGGAGTATGTTATTATATATTAGTAGTATATTCCAGTAGCTACTAGTATATTCCAGTTGGTACTAAAGTGCCCTGTGTGCTAGTTTTAGCAAAAAGTCCAATGTACAATGTACTATCCTTCTCCAAGTTCTATATCACTATTCCCTGATGTTCTCAGGGCTTTCCTAACTCTTAGGGCAGGCGGGACTCCAGTTACGACCTTCATTTTATATAACCATTGTGAAGAATAGTGACACTTGGGAACCAGCAGTTAGCGTAATGGCTATGTCGCTGGACTCCCACGTAGTCGACCGTGGTTCGTGTCCCGGACCCGGTGGCTTAAAACTCACGCCGGGCGCGTGTGCGTGCGTGCCCAAGATCCCGAGAGGAGAATGGAGGAGAAGGGATTGCGGCGTGACCATCCCCCCTGGGGGGTGATTTCTCGCTTTCTGTCTCTATGTCTCTCTCTGTCTGTCTGGCGAGCGCACATGCCCTATAGTGAAAATCTCTCCAAAAAAAAAAAAAAGAATAGTGACACTTGATCGATAAATTTTTAATAAAAGAAATCAGTTCAGTGATATCTAAATCTCACAACCTTAGGGAAATCTACATGAAACCATTTTGTACTAAGTTGTATCTTCTGGTGTATTGATATGGGACTAGACTTCCTTTGAAAAGCCCTTCATTCTCCTATAATGAACTCTGCTGCCTTATTCCTGGAAGTTTAGACCTGGCCAGTCTTTCCTCCAGTATTTCTTCCATAGATGCCATGGAGGGAGTAGCACAGTCCCCACCTTGTCACCTGGACATGGACTTATGGTCTGCAATGAGCACCTGACCCAGCTATGTTCTTTCTCTCTCCTTCTGTCCCCCTGTAATGGCTAAGTACATTTAGTTGAATTCAGGTGAACTGCCTTCATCATTCTTATTTTATTTAACTCTTTACAAGGTCTACAGGATCTGACCTGTCCAGTGTCATCTCCTCCACACTCTACTTGGCTTATGGCATCCCACCCTGGCCTCCTTTACCCCTTGTTTTTCACAAATTTGTTCTTGCCTTCAGGTTTTGCACTTGCAGCTCATTCTGCCTGGGACCGTCTGTCCCATGTGCCTTCCTGTGGCTGTTTTCCTTGCCATTGTGAGCTCCACATGAATGTTCATCTCACATGAATGTTCATCTCTCTAACTAGCCCATCTAAAATAAACCTGGTCACTCACTTATTCCCTAGTTTATTTTCTTTGTGGTACATATTAGCACATAACACTTTCTGGTTCATTTATCTGAACATGTCTGTCTCCCCTCCAGAATATAAGCCCCATGAGGTGGACCCTGTCTCCTTCCCCATGGTATTCTTAGTGCCAAAGACGATGTCTGCCCAGTGTGTTTAGTTCTCTACAAACGTTTATTGGTGAATGGATGAGCATAAAAAGGGTACATGAGATTAGTGGTGTAGGTGACTTCTGGGGCGAGAGGGCATTGGCAGATGCTGACTTGGGCCATGTGGTGCCAGCAACCTGCATCCCCCATGCCTGCCCTCTGAAGCACCAGCTATAGGAGCAGGTGGCCAGCAAATCCCCCAGGTGACAGGTGCCTGGTTGGTAATCACTCATCAGGAAAGTGGAGGAAGAAACCTTTAATTAAAAATCCCCAGTCCTCAGAAGGATTTAGGTCATGCTACTTGAGTAAATTCTAAGTAAGCACATGTAGGTGCTCATGGAGGAATTTTCTGGTAAGATAGTTTGGTGGGATTGGGGGAATACTCCGACAGGATTATCATGATTTCAGGTTAGTAGGCGGAGCAAATGTTGTGTCCCAGGAAGAACTTTAAAATACAGTGATTAACATCAGCCTTGCTGGCAAAAGCAGCGAGCACTGAGCTGCAAATCCCGGAGTCTCTTTTCCCAGAGTCAGTGCTGATGAGAAGCTGTAGGAGGCTACAGCACTGGCCAGGGTCGTGTGTGGTGGGGTGCGACCATGCCGGCTAGTGTTGGACCAGGCTCATCAGCTGCGCTGACCATGGGAGGGAGGCACTTTCTGCTTCTCAGGGAAGGGGGTCTTGGTCAGTTTCCTCTTCCCTTAGTTTGGAGTCCATGCTCACTAAGTAACTGGGTTATAACCAGGCTTTCAGTGTATCTGCCTTTCACTGGCCATGCTGAGGGGTCCAGTCAGAAATGTAAGTAACTGCTACGATCACAGCACTGATGGGGAAAGGGCTCTGGGAGGCTGCCGTGGTGCCTGTCTCCCAGCTCATGGTGTGTGGGACCAGGACGCGGCTCTCAATTCTCCATTCAGAGGGCTTGGCGGTGGCCAGTCAGACTGAGAGCAGGTGATAGGCTAAGAGCAAAGCTTTTATATTAAATGTATTTTAGATGGAAAGATTTTAGCACTTTAATGTTAATATACTACATGAGGAAAATATTAGAGTGCCTTTAAACATAGTTTATTAAAAGAAGACATGTTTTCTTTTGAACTCGAGAACCAGCCTCCATGAAAAAAGTGTCAAGTGAGTCCGTTCCACCACTGCCATGGCACAGGAGGCTGATTGGTTCCTGCTGCAGAGCATAGCCGCAGTGTCAGCCTGTCTTGGGCTCCGAGTGGGGCCTTGCTTCTGTTGCTGTGTTAGGGGTTCTTTTGCTCAAGGGCGAGTACCTTTGTATCTTTTGGGTAAAAAAAAAACCAGGGAAACCCAACAATGTCGTTTTCTTGTCTATTTGGGGCAGACACAAAAGTCCTTAACCTCTAAGGAAACATGATCCTTACCAGATTTGAGCATGAAAAAACTTGTACTTGCGACTTTGATCCCTGAGGAGCGCTGGGAAAATGCCTGTGTATTTGTGTGTGCGTGCGTGTGTGCGTGTGTGTGCAGTTGTGTAGCTTTGTAACGGACTCTGGTGTTTACTGCATCGATACTTTTTTACAATGGAATTCTACTCCGCCATAGAAAGGAAGGAATTATCAATATATGCACGATGTGGGTAGATCTTGAATTATGTTGAGTGAAAGAAGACAGAGAAAAAAGAAAGTAGCTACTCTGATTCTCCTTATGTAAAATTCTGGAAAATGCAAATTAATTTATAGTGACAGAAAATAGATCAGCAATTGCTGAGGGAGGAGATGGGGAGGAAGATGTGGGGGTGTGAGTAGATTTTTGGAGTGATGGAGCTGTTTCCCCTCCTGTTTCACAAGTGCTTTGCATTCCGTATGTATCAGACTGTACAGTACATGTGCATCTGGGTGTCTGTCAAACCTCAACCCAACTATTTAACAGAAAGAATACTTTCAACAGTGAGGAAGTTGAGGGGTCGTGTCGGGCTTGAACTTTAGGAGCTAGGTGCTGATTTTACACCTCTGAGCCTCAGTTTCTTCAGCTGTCAGAGAGGTAATGCTGTGCTCCCCAAAGATTGCCGTGTAGAGTAGGTGAAGTAACGTATCTATGGAACGCTTCGTTTTTATAAAGTATTGTAGTTACCGGCATTTGTTAGTGTGCATGCAATACCCTTGGCTGGAAAATAAGTTCTTAAGTCGCCAGGCCCAGTAATCCCCTTATCTATTTCTTAGTGCACTAAATGAGGGGTTGATGGAGGGATTCTTGGTCCTTGGTGTATGCCTGTATCTGTGATGTGACTGTGAAACCACTTAATCTTCACTCTACTTGTAAGTCTTGATCTTAAAAATAGAAACTCAGCTTCGACATTTTAAGTTGTTTTTTTCCAGTATTTTACTTTCTCAGCCTTCAAACTTTTTTTTCTTTGGAGAGGCTTTTGCTATAGGGTGCGTATGCTCGCCAGAAAGACAGAGACAGAAAGTGAGAAATCACCCCCCAGGGGGATGGCCACGCTGAAATCCCTTCTCCTCCATTCTCCTCTCAAGATCCTGGGCACGCACACACACCCGGCATGAGTTTAAGCCACCGGGTCCGGGACTTGAACCATGGCTGACTACATGGGAGTCCAGTGACATAGCCATTATGCCAACTGCTGGTCTCCAAACTTTTTTTTTTAATGTCATTTTACCATCATTGCAAGAAACTGTTCACTGTTACATACCCTTGAAAGGGTTGGTCTTAAGAACTTAAATAACATGAGTACTTATGATCTAATTTTTAAATGGCTGTAAAATTGCATGAGTACAAGTGTTAAGAGGGTATGAAAAACTTCTGCAGTGTCGTTTGCTCTCCTTCCATTCACACCCATGAACATACTCAAATGGAAGAAGAGAGAATGCCAACACAGCCATGTAAGAGGGAACAGAATATTTCCCCTCTAGTCCTTCCAATTTTTCATGATTTTTGTAATAAAGTCAGTGTTTCAGTTGATTTAGTTATTTCCATGAGAGAGAGAGCTAGGCAACCCCAACAAGGTCTTCATGCCACAGTCCACCCACAGTATTACCTGGCCTGGGTCATGGTGTACCTGGTGTACTCAGGGAGGTCCCAGGACACAAACAGAGGACCTTTTCCATGTAGATTCAGTTGCATTACCACTGTGCCACTTGTCTGATCCTTGTTATGAGATCATTTATCTACTTAATATAAAAACTCTTAGCTCAGGAAAGAAAACTTTCTTAACTTGATAAAGAATGCCTACAAAATAACCTACAGGCCACACCATACTGTTAGATATATAACATCTTTACCATTAGGATCAGGAGTAGGGCAAGGATGGCCCTCCACCTCTGGACCTCAGCACCCTCAGCTACTGCAACTGCTTCCCTTTTGTTGGGGCCAAGAAAAAGAATTGTTAAGAGCCTGTTGTAATCAAGGTGCTGCTATGGAGGAAACTGGATCCTGCCCAGTGAGGACCCCACTTACCCTCCACAGGTGGATTAAGACACATGTGCATGTAACTGCAGTACAAAGAGGGGTGAGTATCAGAAAACAAGGGTCCAGATCTTTGGGCTCTTCCAGAAATCCTAGAACATCAGGTCATACCCACTAAACATGAGTGTGTTTGGTTTTTTTTTCCATTACTCTCCATGCCCTGAAAGGGAAAATCTAGGAAAGAAAGAGATGAATCTGACACCTGAAAGAGAAGAGTGCATTCAGAGACCCATGAGCCAAGGCCAGTCTTGTTTCTGTGATTGGCTGAGGTTATAGGGATGCCACAAGCACAGGTGGTGAGTCTCCTGCAAGGGTTTTCCCACAGGGCAGTCTGTGGGTCTACACCTCAGGGTTGTGTATTAACAGAAAATAGCTCCACATTCGTTGAGGGGGGTTAGTATCATCCCTTTTCCTATATATTCCACTTGGAGATCTCTCTCTCTCATCCTGTATAGTTGATCTTTTTAAAAATATACATGGAGGGGCCGGCAGGTGGCATGGTTGTTAAAGGCGCTGGATTCCCACTTGGCCGACCGTGGTTCAAGTCCTGGACCTGGTGGCTTGCTTTCTCACTCTCTCTCCCTCTATCCCTCTCCC